GCATGGGAATGTTAAAAGGAAAACAATGCAGGGGGTTCATACTTAGGACCATAAAAAGGCTTGCCCCGTAAACATAAAATACACTAAAGGGAATTTGTGACCAAAGGCATGGATGGCAAGGCCTCTCTGCCTCCCTTTGATTCAAGTAGTACTCTGAGAAAAAAGATATGGCTGATTATTACCAAATCAAACCCAGACATCCTCTTAGTACAACTTTTATAATGATTTCTGCCTCTCCTGGCCCATGGCCCCAATCCTCCTCAGCTTTCTTGCAGATCCATACTATTTTCTGCAAATTACACACAAACCCTCTTGCTCAGGGGCCAAGTCTGACATTCACCCTTCTTTTTATATGGCTCCACATGCCCTCAAGACCATCTATTGATCCATCTGGTACCTTACACCGTTCATCCACCGTTCATTCCCCCTCTCTTTCTCTCTTGTTTTTGTAACTGCTTACTTCTCTTATATTTGTTTCTCACCTGCTCTGAACAGGGAGGAGGATACTCCTATGGGTTGTGTGACGGACCTGCTCTAAGGCCAAATATAATCTGGGAGCAGGACGGCTTCAAATTCCTCCATAATATGTAAGAAGGATGACAACTGTACAGGGATATAAACGGCATGAACGTAAATGGACCAACTTCACTGGCTCCGTCGCAGATGTCCCAGGAAGACCACATCCACAAAGAGGAGGGAGCTGTTACTACATCACAAGGAGAGAACCCCCCCCCAACTCTAGCTATGCCGCTTGGCTCCCAATCCAGTATCCTGCAGCTCCTCTGCTTCCAGTATTTCAGTGGTCACTGTATTTCTTCCGGTCTATCCTGAGCCTAGGCCCGCTGTAAGGAATTTTTGCTGGCAAAACTGAAATATGGTGGTTGTGGATTTTTCGGGCTGTTTGGCCATGTTCTGGAGGCCAGGCTGAAAGCCTTCAAAAACTGAAATATGTTTATTGTTAAATGTGACTGCAGCCAACTCAGCTTTTGTTGTGGTTGTAGAGATGACATTTAAAACATGGAGACATTTAAAACATGGAGACATTTAAAACATGGAGACATTCATCAGTATAATCACCACCTGGTTAAAACTCTACATGGAAGCTGTGGTTTGTCAGAAGAGAGTGGAAGTACGTTCTTTGACATCACACAACCTCATCCAATTGCTGCAGCAAGGAAAGCTTTTAGTAACCACCAGATTTTTATGCCTTAAAAAAAATTAAAACTTAGTTTCTGCAATTAAGGGAGTTCTAAAATGATCAGCTGAAGTAGCCTCATTAATGGCAGATGGAGGGGCTGACCGAGTGCTTTCCTACCAGTATTAATCGTTGTCAGTTTTGTTCTCAGTAATCCAGATTCTAGCCCATGATCCTGAACATGAAGCTCTCTATATAGTTTTCCTTTTATATATAAAATGGTTGAAATCCTGTTGCTTAGAGTAGTAATTGACAACTAGAATAGACTTCTTCGAATAAATGGAAATTACAAAGGAGCTGACTCACTAAGCCCCACTAAATTCAATGGGCCTCCTCTAATGCAATTTGCCACACTAGGCAACAGACTTTCAACTAGTCAGTGAAGAATCATTACTATGTGTTTTGACAGTTATCTCTTTCCTGTAGATATAACAAAGTATTTCCCTAATATTTTATGATTCTCAGCTAGCAAAAGCCCTGTTATTCCTCACTATAACGAGCAAACAGCATCTGTTTGTGAGAGACAACATAGTTCCTATTTCTCTCAAATGACCTGCAGATTTACTGTGATTCACCACTTATTACTCAGCCCATCTTTGGTGGTCCTCAGGTAAAGAGAGTGATGGGCAGGGAGGACACGTTTATGCCTGTGGCACACCCATGATGGGGAAGCTCAGCAGGTGTCCACTTGCCCCATTCCTCTCCAGTACCAGGCAAAATCCTGTATCTTTAACCCATTGCAGTTATGTATTTCATTTTGATTGGAGTGTTATCTCTTGGAGTTTTATTTAAAACCTTGTATACTGTCTGTGGTTTGTTTAACCGTAAAGAATTTTTCTGGGCAGGGCTGATTGTCTGTCTATCCAGCACTAACCGATGGTTTTTCCCAGCTTTTGAACTCAGGGAGAGTTCCACCTCTTCCCGAAGTGTTCTTTTTTTCCTTCTTTTTCCTTGGTTGATGGCATTTTTTTTGTTGTTGATCTGTTCAGTTGTGTAAAGAAAGAAAGAAAGAAAGAAAGAAAGAAAGAAAGAAAGAAAGAAAGAAAGAAAGAAAGAAAGAAAGAAAGAGAAGCAGTTGTTGTTGCTTTTTCGGGCTCTTTGGTCGTGTTCTGAAGGTTGTTCTTCCTAATGTTTCGCCAGTCTCTATGGCCTGCACGTCAGAGTGCTGTCCTCTGAAGATGCCGGCCACAGAGACTGGCGAAACGTTAGGAAGAACAACCTTCAGAACACGGCCAAGAAGCCCGAAAAACCCACAACAACCATTAGATCCTGGCCGTGAAAGCCTTCACGAATACAAAGAAAGAAGCATACGTACAAAATTTCAAGCAATTGTAAGTAAATATATTTTTTAATTCTTTCTCTTACAAATGTCTCAGAGTGAGTTACTGAGACTGTAAGTGTCAGTTAATGAGAAAGGGGTGGACTCTGGAAACCATGTCTCTTCTGCTGTATGGGTCTCTGCATTTCTACTGCTTAGCAAAAAGAAACTTTACAAGAAATTCAAAATTATGCAACATTATCTTCAGTGCTCTTCTACTTGTTCCATTGCCACAATTTAGATTACTGTTTGCATTGTTGAGTTTATAAAATAGGCTGGATCTTAAGATAAAGATGCTGGTGGAAAGTTCATTTTCCCCTTCTTTCTTTGAATGCAGCCATTTGTAATCCCAGAAAAATCTTACTGGTAGGTTGAGGGCATTCTTTCTGAGCTAGTGAAGGAAAGAATGAGTAACTTTCCTCCCTTCTGTTCCCTTTCAATTTATCTTAAGTGCAAGGCCCTCCCTGAATAATTTCCCCCTTCTAAGCAGAATTGGAAAACTTTCTTTCTGTCAATTTTTCAAACTTATCAAGATCCATGTATTCTTCTTTTCTCTAAGCCAGTGGTTCTTAACGTGGGCAATAATGCCCCTCAAGGGGCAATTTCATTTTTCAGGAGGGCGGTAGAATGAAAAGGGGCGGTGTGGGGGGCGAAAGAGTGAGCCAAACCTGTGAAGGCGACTGCAGCCGCAGTGCTGGCAGTAGATCTGGTGCTGCTGCTGCCGCCAGATGATCCAGCTCTTTCTACCTGCCATGTCTCGCCTTTTTCCTTTAGGGGAGCACTGAGTGTGGATCGGGTGGAAGGAAAGGGTCTCTTGCGTCCTCATCCTCGCCCCGTGAAGCGCTGCCTCACACCCGGGTGGGGAGGAGACTACGTGGTAGGTAGGTAGGTAGGTAGGTAGGTAGGTAGGTAGGTAGGTAGGTAGGTAGGTAGGTAGGTAGGTAGGTAGGTAGGTAGGTAGGTAGGTAGGTAGGTAGGTAGGTAGGTAAGATATCACCTCAGGGAGGGGGGCGATGATAACTTCCTCAATGGCTCAAGGGGGCGTTTCTTTCAAAAAGGTTAAGAACCACTGCTCTAAGCTGCCCTGGGAATGTGGATTGGCACTGAAGGTGCAAGATAGATCTCTGGGGGGAAAGCTGAATACAGTAAATGCAGCACAAGTCTGAACTGAAATGAAAATTCAAATTACAGCAATTTGGGCTGACGGTGGGTGTGACTACACTGTTAAGCCAAATTGGACCTATATGACATTTGAAATTGCAGTCAATGATCAGGTAGGAACTGCTGGGAATGTGGATTGGCACTGAAGGTGCAAGATAGATCTCTGGGGGGAAAGCTGAATACAGTAAATGCAGCACAAGTCTGAACTGAAATGAAAATTCAAATTACAGCAATTTGGGCTGACGGTGGGTGTGACTACACTGTTAAGCCAAATTGGACCTATATGACATTTGAAATTGCAGTCAATGATCAGGTAGGAACTGCGTATTGCTTCAGGAGTTCATCATTCATACTGGATGTGATGCCATTCACAGTTCAGCCCACAGTCACCCTTCTTTTATCCTTCCTCTGGTCCCACCTCTGCCAATCCTTTAATGGAGTGCAAATGGAGGAAATAATAACAAGGATCCAGTTATAAGGTGATAGGTGATCTAGCACTAAACTCATATATGTAAGAATTTTTTTTAAAACCCAGAGGGCAATTGGAGGAGAGAAAAGAATGCAGGGGCATGTACCTCCAATCTGAACATCATGCCCCAACTCGCCTACACACATATATGTATACGTCTTTACAACAAATCACACAAGAAAAAGCCTGTTCTGATCATTCTGGCTTGAAAAAGTAGAAGACACCCCCCCCTGCACAGCAGAGGAAAAAAACACTTTGGGAGGGAAAAGAAGGGGGCTGTGTATGTTCTGTGATCTCAAGTTGGAACTGACTTGTAGTGACCCTAACAGGGCTTTCAAAGTAAGTAAGATATTTTAAGGAGTGTCTTCAGCAGTTCCCCTCCCCCAGTGAATTTCCATGGCTAAGTAGGGATTTTAACCCCATTCTCCAGAGTTCTAGTCTGCCACTTTATCCACTACACCACACTGGAAATCAAATGATCATGTGCTGTCAATTCTGACTTATGGTAACTTTTTCCAGGGTTTTCCAGGTAGAGAATACTCAGAAGTGGTTTACCATTACATTCTTCCAGAGGCACCCTGGGACTGTGCAGCTTGCCCAAGGCCACCCATCACAGGAGGCACAGGGGGGGAATCGAACTCCCAAAGTCTGGCTCCACAGCGAGATATCTAAACCACTGATCTATCCAGCCAGTGTCTGAGTATCACACCACAACTACCTACATCACCGAAAAAGGGCTAGACCGCTTCAAATCAGCCTTTGCATCATGTAGTCAGAAAAAAATAATTCAAATACACCCATTTTATAAGTTGATCAAATCCTGCAGTATTTGACCATGTAATCGCAGCCAGTGTATGAGCACTGATGTTGGGAAGGTGTCCTGCAGTTTTATTGCACTGGATGTTTGACTGAATTGTAGAAAAACTGCACCCTGCTTAACGATCCAGAATGCATGAGGATAGGAAATAATTATAAATTTGATGTCCCGATTGTCATCCGCTTGCCTCGCATGTGAGGTTGAGGAGATTTTTCTTTTATAACACCTCTGTAAATTAATTTCCAATAAATATATGCATAATAAGAAATGAGAAAGGAAAATAACAAACCCCAAGCTGAATGAGTACACAGTACTTCATGTTATAAAAAGTTGAGGTGAGAGGGAACCAAAGAGAAGGATGGGAAACCAGCAGGAGGAGGAACACATCCTTAGGGACAGCCATTTGGCCCCAGGCAATCTTATGTACACACACCCAACCGTTGAAGACCAGGACGAAATATATTGTGACAATGCAAGCCAGAGCTGCCCCAGACAGGTAATTAATCTACGCAAGGTACGCAGGGTCTTAGAGAGGTGAACGCTAGGGGCATTGAAACATACAACTTGTCACAGTCATGGACCTGAGTTGATGTGCACTTCCTAGTGGAGTCAGAAAAATATAACCTTGTTTTTCTCTTTGTCCAAGTCAGACAGAGTTCATTCTTCAAAATGCATTGCAAGTAGTTTGCTGCAGACAAGAGACGGCAGTGAAGATGGGAACAGTGCAGTCATGCAGGTGAATCCTTCCATAGTGGAAGGTTTTGTTGATGGAGCTATGCAGGGGAGACTTGATTTGTGGAGACTGTGGAAGTCTCTGTCTTGGTGCCAGCAGAAGTGTCCTCTTCAGCTAAAGGATTCTTTCCACAGCAGAGGGTAGTGATCATACAGTTGCGGAACTGTAAATTTAAAAACAAAGACCCATCAACATGTTTACTGTGGATACCTTCAGGTGCTGGCTGCAGAAACTAGATCAGAAGGTCATCCTGGTAGCCAGGCATCTAGAAAGACCATGTCAACAGGGGATCCATGAACCAACTTGAGCAGAATTTCCAAGGCCTGTTTCATTGCTCTGCTATTGCTCTAATCCTTGACTGTATGTCAACATTACTCCTGCTTTATTTTGTAACCTGCCTGTTCAGATAACAAAGGCATTCCGCAGCCAGAGACCATCCTGTGAGACCATGTGCTGATTCCTTGGCACAACCCAGCTCACATGAAAATAATTGACAGTGCTATAATTTGTAGCCTGAAAAGCGCTTAATCTTCGTTCTCTTGCCCCCTCCCCGAATGACTCACAAATGGTGCGAGTCATTAGCAGCTTGCTGTTTTGATAAAAAGAAAAAGGGGAATGGGCTTTGGGGCCACCAGCAGAGAGCAAGCATCCTGAAACGCCCCCTCTGTTCCCTGGCCACACCATTCCACTTGAAACAGGTGATTAAGGATTTTTCAGATTAACCCCCCACCATCCTTTCCACCCCCCACCATGAGATGTATTATATTCTGAGCACATTACGAAGGGGCAAAATGCTGTAAAGATAAATGTACTGTGTCAAGCTGAGAGAACCTAGTTCAAATCTCTGTTTAGCACTGGACTGTCTTAGGAAAGGCCCTTGTCTCTGAACTCCCTCACCCCTACCCAACTTGCATTTGTAATATGGAGAATTACCTTTCAGGGTTTGTTACAAAAACTATTATTGTAATGTATCCAGGAAGCACTTTGAGCACTTAGGGAAAGTGCTATAAACTCTTAAGGTTTATTGCATCAGGAGAAAGCTGAGGCAACATTGCCAAGTTACCTGTTTATTCATTAGGATGTAAATCACTGGATTGTAGATTGCCGAACTCTTGGCAAAGAAAGCCGGGATAGTCATAAAGACGGGGCCGAAGTCAGAGCCTTGATGAGTGAAGATGTAAAAAGCCACGCTGGCATAAGGGACCCAGCAAACCAGGAAGGAAATGACCATGATGATGACCATGCGAGTGACTTCTTTCTCAGCCTTCTGGGTGGTGGCAGATTCCTGTTGCTGAGCTGCAGCCTAGAAGCACAACAACAGCATATGATCAAGCTCCGCAAGAGGCTTGCCTAGGAACTGAAATTAATATTGGAAGAGAAAGTTCATGTGTGTCCTGTAGAGTAGAGCAGAGTAGTGTGGAATGAGGAAGGTTTCTCAGAATGGTTGTGGGATTGATTGTTGCAGTTAAACATACTGGTCTTCGGTGGTGGTGGTGGTGGTGGGAACTTCAGACCATGGGGCAGAATTGAGCTGCCCTCTCCCCCACCATCCTAATGCAGCCTTTCTGGGGTTCCCCAAAAGGGCACATACCCTAGTTTGATGGTCTTTTAGCCTTTACACAGATTCTCTCCTATTCCCAGTGCTTCCCTCAAGGCTTAGTTACTGGCAGCAAGAGCTTGGGATGGTACGTCTGCCTCCTTTCCCTTTGATTTATCTCCCCCAACCCCAATAGAGGCCCTGAGGACCTTTCTAAAATTGCATTTGGCCTTCAGATGGAAACAGGTTCCTTGTCCTTGATCTATAGATTCTTTCCTATTCCCAGTGCTTCCCTCAAGGCTTAGTTACTGGCAGCAAGAGCTTGGGATGGTACGTCTGCCTCCTTTTCCTTTGATTTATCTCCCCCAACCCCAATAGAGGCCCTGAGGACCTTTCTAAAATTGCATTTGGCCTTCAGATGGAAACAGGTTCCTTGTCCTTGATCTATAGTATATGGCCTGCTCTAGATACTCTTTGTGACCTTCACTATTTGTGACTGGTATTCCAAAAGAAGTACACCGCTGAAGGTTGCCACTGCCACACGACTGAGAGCTTGTATTCCTTTCTTTCCTTTCCAGAACAGGGCACTCTGCCCTACCAGCCGGGTGGGGGGCACTTTACTGTATGAGATGGGAAAGTGCTGTAGCATTTTCTGCCCCACAGAGCTGTGGCACTTGCTGTTGATTTCAGGAATGATGGAGGTGGACCCTGCTGGGCCATAGGATGCTGATATATGTCCCAGAAAATACCAGGAAAATGCCCCCCTCCGCTGTATGCTAAATAAAATAAAATAATCATAGTTGGTTGTTTTGGTTGTTGTTTTGGCTTTTTATAATGAAACCAAGGCTTTTTAAAACACATTGAACCATCCACACCAACATGGCTAAAAAGCAGTAGGAACATCAGTGAATTTCTTATTTTTATAAAAGCAAGAATTTCATCTCTATGTAGAATTACACACCTGTTTCACTGCACAGACAAGGCGTCCATAGCAGAAGAAGATAATAGTCAAGGGTGTGACAAAATGGACCAGAAACATATAAAGGACAAAGGACTCATTATTAGTCTCTGGATTTGGTGTATAATAATCAACTCCACATGAGCACTGCATACCTTCTGGGATGTATCTGTGTACGAAATAAATGTGTTAATTGGTGGAATTATATTCTCCACAATTACATTACAATATTAAATATTCAATACTATCGTTATGCACTGTATTTCCTCGAATGCTGAAAAGTTCTATGGACTACCCAGGTTTCGTTTCCCTTGAGAGATGAAATCACTGTACACTTACTGCATTGTCCTAATATCTGGATTTATTTTGCAAATAGACAAGGAGAGTGCAGATAGAGATTTTAAAAAAACATACTACTACTACAGTAGTTAATCTACTGCCCACATTAGTCCCCCATCCAAGGGATAGCCCAGCTCCCTCATATACTGCCCACACTGTACAGCTCACTATCTCCCTTTTTCTCTAGGCCTCACTAGACCAGACACTGATTTAATATCTAGAAGTAGTGCGCTCTTAAGAAGAAAATACTGTTTATTCTAACAGGAGCTTGCCTCCATCTGCAAATTAGCTTTCAGGGGGAAAGTGCTATCTGGTTAATTGGAAGGCAGCACAGCTTTATTTACATGTCTGCAGCCTGGAGAAATAACTCTGGAAGAGGAGGAAAGAGGCATGTGCCTTCATGTGTGATCTGATTCTCTGCTGTGTTTATTTTGTGCCTTTTACAAGACACATTCAGTTCTAGATTACATTATCCCTCGCTGAAGGGTGGGCGGAGATACATCTTTCCCAAAAATGGCTCTTACCTTTCCATTATCATAGTTCCTTCTTAAGGTGGCCCCATAAGTCATTTTCCTAACAAAAATTGGACATGTAATCTCTGACTACTGGACAGTTTTATGCCATCATTCCAGAACCATTTGCTTCTTCTGTCTCAATCCACAAATTGCTAACCTATGTATCAACGGCAAGAATGTCATGCATGCTTACCTTGACCATCCAAGGAGAGGAGGACCAGAACAGGCCAAGGCCATGATCCAAGTGAAACCTACCCCAATCATGGCATGGGTCTCAGTGAAGCGGAAATTGCTCATAGGCTTGCAGACCACCACGTATCTTTCAACAGCCAAGACTACCAGAGACCACAGGGCTATCTCACCTGTAAAAGAGTGAAGGAAACATTTAGAAACAGGGAAGGGGGTTGGGCAGGGGAGAGAGATGGGAGAGTATCAGGGCTGAATCTGGGGGGTGGGATGAGGAGGGTATCATGCCCTGAATGGCAAATTAAGGTCAGCAAAATTAGGCCACTCCAGGTAAGGAGCTGGCAAAAGCTTAAATGAATGATGGGAGCATGCATGGACCAGGTGCAGCTGGTAGGCTGGCCCTCAAGGGCACCAAGGTAGAAAGAGAGTGCTAGTTAAGGCAATAAGAGCTGACAGTAGGAGAGACCAACCACACTGCTTTTGCTATATTTGAAGGTATGGCAGCAGCTCTCTCACAGATGGGGGGAAAACAGTTCCATGAGGGCAAAGTGAAGATCCCACCTGAAATCCAGTGGGTACCTGTCACCCAATTTTCCTTGCCTAGAAATTGAACCTCGTTGTCCCCTGTCCCTCTTCAACCGATTTCTTGAAGATGTTGCTTGTGGGTGGGAGAGAGAAGGCTGGGACTACTTCTGCGTAATCCAGCCCTTCTTCCTAGTCAATAGATGTAGGGCAGAGCATAGTAGCTGTGAAAGGAGAACCAGAAAAAGAAAAAGAAAGAAAAGAAAAGACAGGCTGGGTGGGAGAAAGCAGAAGGAAGGCATGAAAAGAGTCAAACTGGATAGGTGAGAAGGTGAGGGAAAGGGTCAAAAGAGCTGGTTTAGGTGGCTGGAACGAGTGAAAGAGGCAAAGAGCCAAATGGGGAAAACAATAGGATTTGGCCAACAAGAGCAGCAGTAAGGAGGGGTGAATCCTTCCTGCCAAGACAGTCAAAGAGTCATGAAGTGCTGGGCTCTTTCCAAATTTCAAGCTAAGAAAACTACAGAATCTTACCCAAACCAGCCAAATGATAAGAAAGGGGCTAGTTATTCTGAAGTAATTAACTTGGAATAGCAGTGTGGTCTTGGATACCTTGAGCAAGGGACAGATAGAGAGAAAAAGACAGAGCCAACTTAAAAGGTTGTCTTTGGAACCCGTGTGTTGGATTAAAACTCAGATTAAGCCCTGTCATCGTCGTTGACATCATCATTGGCAGAAGTAGTAGTACATTTGGAGAATAAGGGAAGATTTTGAGTGTGATTCTCCTACAATCTACCCTTCCTATCTCCTTGTAGAAGGTCCGCTGGGAGCCTTTCTATCTGGGAGGCCTCCAGCTGCAGCTCTGACACTCTGCCTGCCCATGGTGGGGGTGCCAGCTGATCCTGGGCTGAGGTGAAGGGATCAGATGGAGTCAGAAAAGAGGAGCACGGTGGGGCTGGGGCCTTCTGCAACATATGCTTACAATACTGACTTTTGCATGCACGCATACATATTTCCATGGCAAAATGTGTAGACCCAGCACTGAGATGGACAGCCAGCCCATCTCTAATTACACTCAGAATATCTGGAACATGCCTAAGGTTATTCCTTAATGTTGCCACTTAAAATTGTAGTTCAGTAACTGATGCTGGAAAGGCCTGTTTGAGAAGAACTGAGTCAGAGTTACAGTCATAGCTGGGTTACAAGGCACTCATCCGGCACCACATTATAAAACTTCATTATGTGCTCTTATGGTCTGCTCAACAGCTTATCCCACGTCTGATCAGGCCTCTCTCTGGTTTCCTCGTTTATTAAGTTCAGACCACATGCGGGCATGGCAAATCCACGCAATGAAGCCCAGGGCTGTCTCAATCCCATACAAAATGAGGTGGGGCTTGAGGGCAGTGTGCAGTTTAATTAAGCAAATGGATGAGGCAGCCGAATCTTTATTCATTTGTTCTTTCAAGTTTCTCTACTTCTAAGCACTTCAGTTGCTTCCTTGCAGTTCCTCTCCCGGACTGTTTTTGTCTTGAGAAGACACACTTCACTGGAGCCCAATGGAGATAAAAATAACAACTACTGGGGTAGAACAGATAAGGTAAGAGGCAAGTTAGGAGGACCAGGGTGAGACGCCCACATTTCTCTTTCCTTCACTCCTTTTGCTTGTTGCATTAGACTTTCTATCCCCTGTTGTGTTTTGTTTGTGATGTGCTGTAATAGGATGGATGTGAGTTTCTGATTTCATTCCTTAGTTTACTTGTTTCCTTTATTTAAAACATGGATTTCTTTGCTATTCATAAGCAAAGAAATCCTCCCCATACTGTTTCCAGTTACAGCACTAATTAAAAACCCAACAAAACAGATCAAAACATAAGCAAACCTGCAGGTCAAATCACATGTTAAGAAAAATGTGTGTTTCCTGCTATTATGACATTTGTCTCTCCAGGCACGCAATTCTTTCAAAGTACAACCGGGCTTGCAAATGAAACCTGTCTTTACCTCCTGATGATTAGCCACAAAACAAAAGCCAGCTAATTTGCAAAATGTGGAGTGAGGCTAGCTCAGGCTAGGATAGTCAGACATCTTTTATCACTTCATGGATGTCCTTATTTTAGTGTTTTGAGCTTACATCAAAACCCAGCATGTTCAGTCATGCAGCTCCGCCACCCTCACTCACACTGAGCTTGAGACTGAAGCACATTCCAAATTTGTTTTGATCCTTTCTTAAAAGATGCTCCAATATCCCACAGTTGTGTTGTTGTGTCATTTCTCTGTCCTTGAAGAGCTATTTGAATGCAGGATGCCTCTTTTAGAGAAGAACATTTAAGAGCTAAGTGCTTGAGTCACATAAGGCTCAACCACAGGTTTAATTTTGCTGTCCCCTGCCTGTATCCAGACAACAACCTGGGGACAGATTTATCTTGGAAGCTTTGCTTCTCCACAAATGGCAGTAAAATAGATTTGGGGGGGGGGGGTTGAATAGAAGCAAAAGTGGAAAGAACAGAATTTGGATGTCTGCCCTTCTGGAACATGGATAAAAGCGGTCTAAAGAGACTGAGCCAATTTGATAGAATTTGTTTGCTTTTCGCTGGTTTATTTTGTTTCAGATTTAGGTCTTCTCTGCCCTGAGGAGTGGATGTCAAGCGACTGAACCAAGTTAAAAACAAAACAAAACACAACAACATCCCAGGATCCAAATGATTGAAAGATGAAGATTGAAGCTGACTTGAGCACAGAAAGATGTTTCATCTATTTTTTTTTGTTAACAACAGTTTAATTTCCTTTCTTGCTGACATATGGAAGAAAAGATGGCTTAGTTAAAGCCCTGCCATTTCAACAAAGGTGTGAGAGCTTGCACAATACATCTCCTGGGGCTCTCCTAATGTCCTCCACTCAAACTAGGGAAAGATCACAAGTGCCATCTCTCTCTCAAGAACCAGGATTTTGTACAAATCTGTATATTAAGAAAATCTTTGCACCGGGCTTTTGAAGTTGAATTTGGCTTTACTCATCTGACAGAATTATCAGTAGCTTGGTCCCCAGTGGGTTCTCTTAACATGCTGCTCCAAGCTGCCAGCTTGGTTAACTTGGTTGTTTCAGGGAAACATAGGATCTGGCGGTGAAACACTGCTGGATTCCACTGTTTCTGCCAGAATCAGATATGCCCCTCTCTCCCACAGATACCTGTGTGCCCTAGAGGTCTGCTCCAGAGAGACTTGGTAAAACTTCTGGAGCAGGATTTGATGCCATAAATGGATAGAGCTGGATGGGTGAGGGGAGAGAAAACCTGACTCCACTAGTATTGAATATAGAAGTACCCTATGAAAGTACGTCATCAGACATTGGTCATAAACAAAATATGTAACTAGAATCCCCTTATATTAATTGTATTTGGCATCCTGATTAACAAGACTCTATAGGAAATATCCACTATAAGCATTTATGATCTATTGTTAATTTGCAGCAAAATGACGCTGGGGAAGGAGAGATGACACAAAGCACCTACCGCCCATTGTAGCAAAGAATCCTTCAATGTTGCAGCCTATTGTCCCAAAAATGAAATATCCATTCATAGACGTGTACATGGTAGTGGTGAAGCCCATTAAGACCATGAAGAGATTGGCTATGGCCAGGTTTAGAAGGATGTAGTTCAGGGGTGTTCTGAGTTTCTTGTGCTGGATGGTGACAAAGAGAGTCAGAAAGTTGATAGGAAATCCCAGAAGAATCAGGAGGAACATGTAAGCCGCCAGCGCTGAGTACTGCCACGGGTCTGCCAGATAATACTGAGGGTATTCAAATGGACTCCGAACAACACCAGTCTTGTTGGACATGGGAACGTAGAAATTCTGGCCTTCAGTTCCATTCATGATGGCAGATCCTTGGGTATCTTATTTCCAGCAAGTGTTTATTTCTCAGTTTCTTTGTATAACACTCTCCCCCTTCTTATTTTCAGCGGATATTTGCTGGGCTGTTCCAAGTTACGACTGCTGTCTTTATAAAACATCACCCTGGATAAGCCTATCTGATTGGTGTCAGCACAACGCAGATTTAGGGTCATCATTAATCATAATAATCCAAGCTAAGATTGGCACTGTTAATTCTGCATGCAAGGTAGTACCTGGGGAATTATGAAAGAGCTGCAAGAATATTTAAATGCACAGCCTGGTAGAAGCACATAGGATAATAGAAGAAGTCGGTGACCCGTTCTGAACCTTCCCAGAAGCTACTCCCTGCCATTTACTCTTACCAGAGAGTAAGAACATCAAGCACGGTTTCTAAGAAAAATACAAATCTCAGTTGGAAGGAAGTTCCAAGGCCAAGAGATAGCTAGCCAGGTTATTTACTGCCGTGCCTTTGTTGATCGTACCTCAAGTTAAGACCCAATAAAAGTTTTCCACCTCTGCCCTTATGGCAGTGCTAGGAGTTCCACACCAGCAGGGCCAGACTAAGATATTTTACTGCTCAAGATAGAGAGCAAATGATTCTCCCTGTCTCTCCAAATCAAGGTGAATAGTACTCAAGGTCAGGCAAAACAGTTTGGCACACAAGCAGAAAAGCCCTCAAGTATCTCTTCCTATCCTTGGCAACAGAAGTACAATACATTTTTAAAAATGAGATAACTAGAGCCATTTCTTTTTTAAATATATTTTTTATTCATTTTCATAGGGGCAGGGGTTATGGTACAAATAGGGGGCCAGGGGCCAGGTAACGGGGGGGGGGGGGGTAATAAATGATAAAATTCCAAAGAGGGAAAAGAATTCTTGCATCCTATACAATTGTATTAAAAATGGAAATCATACAAAGAGACCAAACAGTATAATAATTTTCCATGATATTTATCATTATTAGTCTTCCATTTTCTTGGACTTTCTCTTTCTTTTTATCTTTAAGTTCACTAGTTTTAGAAGTTTAATATTATTCTGCCATTTTATATCTACTGTTCTAAATTGCTCTGTTGCTCTAAATCACTGTTACAACCATTAGTTTGTGTTTATTTTATCATATATTCTTTCACCACAAAATACCTTCTTAAATTTAACAACGTTTATCTCCACTGCTCTATCTCCATATTTTAACCAATATTTTGTGGCCCTATTATCTTGTCGTCTTCCGTTTTCCATCTTATGGACAACACATCCATTCTCAAGAGCTTCATCCACTCCATTTATTGTCTCCTTTGCCACTAGAGCCATTTCTTGACCATTCATGACACCCAAAATCTGTTGCCTGGGATATGCACTTGTCTAATGGCAGAGTTGGCCCAAATACTGGCTACTGCTTAACCAAAACCAAATTTCTGAAAGAAACTTGGGAGTTAGGCAGATCACGGAGATTCTCTTTTGCACTGGCCTCTGCTCCACAGAGCAACAGTCTTGAAGCTCCTGTAGTTAGGAGCCAGGGTAGGAATGCATCTGATTTAAATTGGCAGCAGAGAACGAAATTGCACTTAAAATTCGCACATAATGCATCATTGATACAATGTTCCTGTCAACCGTGGCTGAGATTTCTCCCAACAGAAACAAAATACAGAACTAACAGTAAATCCCCATAATAAAAATCAGCATTAAACCACAACAGCAATAAACAGCCATAAAAATCAGCCATAAAATTGCAATAATAAAATAATAAACCAGTGCTTCCTAGATAAATCCACAGGTCACATGGTGTTTGCACTGCAGGTTCAGAAGCCATGCAAGGGATTTGGATTCAGAGAAGTCTCAGCAAAGCCACCTCTCAGGATACCCACACACGTACCCAATGAGATGATCAGAGAGACAAAGAGAAACATACGAGCCATTCATACTGCAAACTGACTGACTGAATATGGATATGGAACATTTCACAGCCAGGTACATGTTAGGTATATTCCAGAACAGTGAAAGTATACAATCCCTATATAAGGTTCTCAGTCACATCTGAACGGATGAGCCCCTCCATCACCATAACGGGTCCTAGGCTTATAATACAGCCCATCGCCTGTTGTGCAGCAACAAGTTTGTTTGAACATTCTGATCTGGTGCTTACTTCTGAGAAGTGACCTTAGGATTACAGCCTTATAAATGTTTGACTATAAGCCGTTTAGATAAAGATCGTGTCATTTCAGAGTTCAGAACAATACAAGTTAAGTGGTCAATTCCAGGAAACCCAAATGGAACAGCACGATAAGCAGAGAAGACGACGGCTAAAGAGTGTGGTTACAGCATGAAAATGAATTGATAGCTGGACTGGGTTTTTTTTTTTTATTATTGGGTTATTGTCACAAGGTAGTTACATGGTGTTTGGGTCGGTGTGTGCAACCTCTTGGGAAAACTTTAAATCTCGTTTTCAGCTGTTGTATATCGGTTGAGGGGGCTACCTGGGCTTTTAAAATCCTTGTAATTCAGGCTTTGTCCTGCACCACTGTCTCTTTCAGAATGTCCCAGCTGTTCCCTAGGAGGCAGAGAGAAGCAGCATTTGGAAAAAGAGGCAGAGAAAGAGAAAGAGAGAGAGGGAGAGAGAGAGAGAGAGAGAGAGAGAGAGAGCTGCTAGGAACTTGAAGGAGAAAGAAACCAGTGCTCCTGAAAATATTCTGACCCGTTTTGGTGCCAAAGAACACCGACCAAGAATGGACTGTGGATGTCTCACAGGTTGACTCCTCTTGACCTGGCAGGGGGCACATGTTCTCCTTTCATCCTAAACATCCCCTACCAACTTTACTGTTCTATACTTCAAGAAGTATTCAAAGAAGGGACTTTGATCTGCCCCAAACCACTACCAAATCATACGTAGGTCCCATTTGTGTTCACATACGCCATCACAGAAATCATGGGTCCTTCAGTTCATGCCTTTGCCGTGGCACACTGATTCGAGACACAAATCTTCATGGATACCGAGACATATGAAGACATGGACGCAAAATCGTACACATGATTTTGTGGACGATCGGCCCCAATCCACTGCCTGATCAATGGACAGATATGAGGCCTATAACTGGACAGAGGTTTGACATAAAATCATGTACATCCATGAGGATCCTTGACTCAGATCCAAGTTTTTGTGCCACTACAAAGCTATATACCTGAGTACTCTTGGTTTCTGTGCTGTAATCTGTGGGTACAAATGGGACTGATTTGACAGTGATTTGGGGCAGATCCCATATAAAAATCATCTGGATCCATGAGGGTCCGTACCTCATATCCATGTTTTTGCCCCCTGGATCCATGAGGATCCGTACCTCATATCCATGTTTTTGCCCCACTGCAAGGAGAGCTCTTCACTCCACTCATCTCATCTGGCTCTTGCCTCCAGCTGTGAACCTCAGGCTTTCTCACTTGCCTCTCTCATGCTTTGCTAAATCATGGTGAGTGGTAGGAGTGGCAAACCTCACAGACACAATTTACACTGACAGAGGTATTCTCATATGCCAAAATGACTCAAACTACAGTGGACCCTCTACTTACGGAATTAATCCGTATTGGAATGGTGGCTGCAGGTCGAAAAGTCTGTAGGTCGAGTCTCCATTGACCTACAATGCATTGAAAACCTATTAATCCCGTAACTGGCCGTTTTTGTTTCATTTTTGTTCCATTTTTGTTTTTTTCTGGTCTGTAAGTCGATTCTCAGGCTGCAAGTTGAACCCAAATTTTGCGGCCAGAGAAGTCTGTAACTAGGAAAGTCTGTAAGTCGAGGGTCTACTGTAAATAAACTTCACAAGCAAATTAAATTAAATGACATTTTCCTGCCCAGTCAAATATGTTGCTTTCTGACTCAGAAACATGCTTCCGGGGGGGGGGGG